CAATAAAGTCCAGCCTCAGAATGGCTGCAATGACTGAATGAGGACATAGCAGAAAGCTAAAACAGTGACATGGTGGATAAAGGCTATCTGCCTCCCCTTCACTGTGCTCCTTTCTCTCTCTACAGTAGCAAACACAGGCCACACCTTCCTCACCAGCATGTTCATCACGTTCACCACTCTACTTGCTTTTGTATTACAGTGCAGACCTGACTACCCGACTTAGGGCAAATGATAAAATGATCTGTAAGACACCAGCCCTCTTCGAACCTTTCTAGCCTTGTCTGTTAGGATTTCCCTAAGCCCCAGACCACATAAGTTTTCATGCTCCAACCGTAACACAGTCTGTTGTTTCCCAACTGTCACACACCTCCATGACAGGCCCACTTACAATACTCTATCACTGAGAAGGTCCAAACAACGTCTTGTTTGCAAAGTTTGGTCTGACCCTAGAATTTACTTTGGCATTCTGAAGACTTTACTTCAAACTTTATTCGCAAACTATCCTAATGTTCCTGCTTAGCTAGCTCCAGGCCAGGTATGAAATACAAGAAAGATACTATACTGGTGCTACTCTCAGTGGCTACCAGCACAGGACATATGCCTCAAAGGCATTATTGAAAATTTTTTTTGAGTTATAGACTTAGTATTATTCTTACTAATATCAGCAACCTAGAAGACTAGAAAGTAAAAATCCCACTAGGAACAAAGTAATCCAGGACCTGGCATAATGGGGCACGACCTTAATCCCTGTACCAGGAAAGAGGAGGCAGGAGGACCTCTGTGAGTTCAGGACCAGAGTGGTTTACATAGGGATTTCCACGACAGCCAGGATTATACAGAAACTCTGCTTCAAAAACAAAACAAACAAACAAACAAAAAAACCTCAAGAATTTTAAAAGTCCCATCAATTCCAAGAATATCATATAAAGATAACGCTGAAAATAATGCTAGAAGTGTGCTCACACTACAAGTAATGCTGCCTAAGTTTATGTTAAAAATTAATAGAATCTCAAATTTTATTATCAATGTGATGAAAACTTCAATAACTCTAGCTATGTTCTCATTCACAATAGTTAAAAAACAAAATAACAAACCCAGTCTTTAGTTAATGGTAAAAAATATTTTAGTGAGCTATATTTATATTTAATCATGGTTGAACAAAAAGAGAATAATCTAACTGGCCGGTCATCAACGGATTGACATTGTAGTTTATGTAATTCATTGCTATTATCTATAAAAACCTTAAATATACTTGGTAACTAAATACAGAAATAAAAAAAAATTGTTGGTCTGTATCGTACATTTATATAAACTAAGGCAATTTCCACTGGTAAAAAGAAAAATTACACTGTAGCATTTGGTATAAAAGCAGGAGCACTAATTCAGCTCCTTAAAAAAAAAAAGTTAGAACATGTGATTCCTGTTTTTTTTTTTAATTCCAAATTTAACACACTGTATTTAGCACCTCTTGTACTTTCCAGTATATTAGATAATTGCATACCATGTTAAAAACAAAATAAAGGAAAACATTCCTGCCGCCCACCTTTTCATAAAAAAAAAAAAAAACCTGAAAATATTAAATATACACAAACACACAAGGGTAGCTTGTGAAGGTTAGAATGACTAGTCTAAAGAACACTGTAGATGAGAAATGAGGGCTTTGAAGGACGGCATCAAAAGAAGGGAGAAATGTAGAATCATTGGCTTGGGCATGAATAGAGAATATTCATCATGCTCTGGAGAACCATGTAGTACTTCAGTGGCTGTAAGCCTTACTCCATATTAATCAGAGAAGCTTTCTCTCTATTTGTACTGAGCTTCAGAAAAAGATTATTTGAACAAAGATGCCCACTACTTTAAGTCTGAGAATCACTAAGATTAATTTCATGATAATGGCAATGGCTGATTCTCATGTTAACAGTATAGAGAATAACGAGAGTAGTAAGCAGTAACACCATGTATGGAAGATTGCTTTATGAAGCGGTAAAACAGGCTGAGGATGCAGCTCAGTGGTATGGTGCTGGCCTAGCATGTACACAAGGCCCTGGGTGCAGTTAAATTCTCAGCACCATGGAAGGAAGGAAAAACAAGGAATAAAAGGAGGGGAAGAAAGAAGGAAGGGAAGGAGGAAGGACTGAGGGAGGGAAGGAGGAAGGAAGAAAATGGCAATGTAGGTGTAAAGAGTAAGAGGGCGATGGAGAGTAGTATGACCAAAGCACATTTGCATATATGGAAATACCAACACCATGCAACCCATTATTCTGCGCGAATAACAGATACCAATAAAAATTTTAAAGGGACAAAAATGTACGGAACAGGCAGACTAATGCATACAATAGCTCTGATTTCACGAATACATTTGTTCTTTTGCTTCTGGTTAGTTGTGCTGGGATACTGTTTACAGAAGAGTTCGAAGTCAAGTTTTCCAACAGCTTGGGTTAGCAAAAAAGCATGATTTTCTCACTCTCTCTTTCATGTGCAAGTGCTCTGTCTGTATGTATGCTTGCATGCCAGATGAGGGCATCAGTTCCCAGAATAGAGGGCTGTAAGCCATCATGTGGTTGCTGGGAATTGAACTCAGGACTTCTGTAAGAGTAGCCAGTGCTTTTAACCACTTAGCCATCTCTCCAGCCCTGCTCCAGATTCTTAGCATTTATTTCTTCCCACACTCCCCTGCAAGGACCATTAGTGTGACCAAAATTCAGAAAATGGTATTTATAATAAAAAGTAATTCCCTTAAGAAATTAATCATGCTATCTACAAATTAATCATTTTAATGCTTTGTTTTCTCTCAGAATGAACAAGACAGAACCAAAAGTTTCACTGCTAGTAACTTGGTCTATGACAGAGATAATTATCCTACCACAACTGATATTGTGAAAGAAGAGAGAAAATGTATTGTCAAACTTACCATAACAATAATCCTACATATTGTACACATCAAAAATGCTTCTACGGCAAAACTTTAATTTTCGTATTTGCAAAACTACATAATTAAAACAGTATTTCTTAATGTTTCTTATTTTGTAAGAGAATGTAACTTTAGTCTCTTTACATAAAGACTCAATTTCAAATAATCAGGATCAGAATAAAATTACTCCTAGCCATTTGCCTTTAAAAAAAAATGTAATTATTACTGATAAAACAGTACTTCTAACTTAGTAAAAACAAAAGACAAATTAATTTGAACTATGCTAAGTGACATTTAGTTATTAACTGGATCCTCATTGAAAGGCTGAGAAATGAAAATGGTAGTTGGTTCCAAACACAGGAATACAGAAGTTGCTATGCACACACTCTCTAAATTATATAACTGGCCTATTTAAGATATATGAATCATGAGTCCAGTTTCTTCCCCAATCACTACAGTGAAAATACATTCTTATAATATATCCCAATAAAGTACTGCGCCGACAAAAACAGTCCAGTGTCCAGGAGAAATGATTTCCATGAGCCCAGACTTTGCTGTCTTGTTTTTGGATTTAAGAGATAAACCACAGTGAGCTCCAGTGGTTTATTTAGCTCATTAAAACAGACACAACATGAGGATAAAATGTTTCTTATAGACACTGATTTCTCCAAAAGAAAACTTCATATAGAACAGGCACAGGCACAATGGTATAAAGCTTTCTGCAAATCTCAAAATGCCTAGTCTTCTAAAATTCATTTTACAGGAGGCAAGGACATTAGATGCTTTAATCCTTTTCATGCTTCAAGATATAAATAAAACATTGGATTTGGGGGAATTCTATATTATCAACAAAATATCAGTATCTCATCTGGCTATAATACTCCTCATTAAACTATAATAAATTTTACTCAGAACATTTATATCATTAAAATTACTACCTATCATACAACAAAATAAAGAGCAATTACATTTGTATTTTTTTCATATGTAACATTTTCTGATTACAAAATTTATCGCTCTAAAAAAAAAACAACCCACACATGTATTTTTTTGCTTCTTAAACCACAACAAAATTTAGTTTACCTCTGACATTACGTTTTGAATACTTGAGCTTTTTAAAGTGGATTGCTATTATTGTTCCTTCTAAGCAACATGTGTAAGAATCCAATTATGGCTTAGACTAGCTGAGGGCGTGCTTTAGAGCCATGTTTCTCAACCTGTGGGTTGTAACCCCCTTGGGCTTTGCAGAACCTTTTCACAGGGATCACCTAAGACCACCATAAAGCACAGATGTTTACATCACAATTAATAACAGCAGCAAAACTACAGTCATGAAGAAGGAACAAAAATAATTCATGGTTGGAGGTCACCACAGTATGAGGAACTGTATTAAAGGGCACTGCCATCAGGAAGGGTGAGAAGCACTCTAGGGCCAAGCTCTTTTCCATCAGCTCTTATTCTAAAAGTCCTTAGGCTCAGTGGTGGCTTAAACAGTATATTTTAGAAACCTATGCATATCTTGATAAAAGGCAAGTAACAGCAAGCATAGTGGATGACTGAAGTCCCAGCTCCTCTGGAAGCAGAATGCAGTAGGACTGCCTGAAGCAAAGAATGTGAGGCCAGCAACCTGGAGACCTGTATCTCTGGTGGCTCTCATGTCCTGGTATCAAAGTTATGTTTTTAGAGCCAGATAAACCAATCTAAATCATTTCAAATGAGGTTTGAATGATAACTAGAGTAATTAAACTCAAAGCATTATGCTTCTAAACTATTACTTTTTCTCCCCCAAGACAGGGCTTCTCTGTTTATCCCTGGCTGTCGTAAAACTCACTCTATAGAGCTGGGTGCCCCCTTGAACGCAAAGATCCACCTGCCTTTGCCTTCCAAGTGCTGGGACTAAAAGTGTGTGCCACCACGCCCAGCTAGACTACACTTTAAACAGAAACAAATAAGAGTTCACTTTTTTGTAGAAAATAACTTAGGAATTACTTTAAATATATATATGACTTACAGACTGACAAGAAAGGTTTGCTTTAACATATACAGAGCATTTCTGTTGAAGAATAGTGGGAAAGCACAGACACTTTACCTGCTTCCTGTGAATTTAACACTTCTAAGGCATGCATCATGGCACTTGCGAAGACATTGGCATCCTCTTTGCTGCCAAAGTTGAGACCATACACCTGTCTAGCATCCCGCCATTGGTGGAAAGTCTGTGTAGCTTGATTGTACTTCAGCCCTTTAGGAATGGCACAATTTATCACGACCTAAAAGATAGTAATTCATTATAAAGGCAGCGCCAATAACTGGGGAAATAGACGCCACACAAATCCTGATTGTAGGTATTTATTTAAATGTGTTCCCATTAGACTTTGTTAAAGCTAGTGGAACACTTACATTAGGTTAAAGGCAAGTCTATAGGAATCAGTCTGATGGAGCTGAAGTGATCTTAAGGTTACAAAAGGCCTGTTTTAAAACAGTAAATCAACAACAACAAACCAATGCACCTCATTAAATATACTTTAACTTGTTTGCTGGAAAACTAGAAATACAAAAATAGAAAATTTACTGTAAAGAGCCCTTTTGACTCCTCCCAGCCTGAGAGAATATCTCTAATACCACAAACTCCCAATGCTTTATGAGACATTCCTTTGTATAAACTATAAGCCCATTCTTGCACTACATTTTATTGTTCATAATTTGTGGCCATTATAAATAATGGCATGAACATTCTAGAAAACACTTCCTGGTTTACACAGTACATTTTCTTACTAGTATAGGCCATATGTATATTTAACTTTAGTAGAAAACTCCACAGTTTTCTAAATTTGTCCTGTCATTTACTATTTATTCCACAACAGTATATGAAAGTTTGTATGACTCCATATATTATGAAGCATCATCACTGATAATGTTGGTCTTAATGTTATAGCAATCCTAGTGGGTTCGAATGTGTGTCTTTGCGTTTCAGTATATATCACATTACTCTGATCACTAATGAAGTTTAAAACTTTTTTCAAGTTCTGTAAGAAATCATTATGTTGTGTGTGCATAGTGGAATTCAGAAGAAGGCATGGCACAACCATGGAGGTCAAAGGACAACTTCGTGGCTGTGGTTCTCTTACCATCTCCACGTAGGTTCTAGGGAGAAACAGGTTGCCAGGCTGCAAAGCAGGTGCTCTTACCCACTAAGCTATCTCACAGGACCCCCTTTTTGTGTTCTGTTGGCTTCAAGATACATATTTTGTGAATTTCTGCTTACATTCATTAATAAGCCACTAGTTCATTCCAGTCCTAAGTGATCCATCTTCTTCACACATGATCCCAAAAGAAAAACATTTGCATGACAAATCTCTTGTCCCACTCTGTAACTTTCCTATTCACTCTCAGTGATATTGTGAGTTCACTTTCTTTTATTTCAAAGTAGGGATCCTTTTCTCTTTCAATGTTTTGGAGTTCTGTTTAATACATAGTTCTCAACTTAAGTTATAAAAATACTATTTCATCTTGTCTTAGAGAACATTTATCACTGTTACCATTACCATTTGCCTCTCCAGTCCAACTAAACTGATTTAAGCCTGTGTGAGACAAGCTCAAGTTTCCTGTTTGTTTCCTCTGGGTGTCCAAATGATTCACTTCCATTAACTAAGCTGCAGGTTTACTTTTTGTAACTGAGTTTTGTCCTGCTGGTCAATACATCTCATATTTGCTCAACTGTAGTGTCTTCACTATTGAAGTTTTTTACTAGGTCTCAGACTTTACACTTTGTTCTTCTATTCTGTTCCTCGTTATTGTTTTAGCTGGTTTTTGTTTTTTTTTTATTCTTTGTGTAAAGCTACCATTTACACTTTAACTGTAAATTTCCAAATGCAAGACTGTACTAAAGCTAACAGAACAACTGGATCACCGATGTCATAAAGCTTCATGATGTCATGTACTTTTTACCTAAGCTGCCATTAACACTCAGTGGTTCTCTGTATTGGTATCTTGAGCATCTATTATTAAATCTGTCAGGTATTTGCTAAAGTAGATACTTATTGTGGTTTAAAAATTTCCTCCACAGGTTCATATCTGAACACTGGCTACACCGTTTGGAAGGGTGTAGAGCTTTTAGAGGGCTCGTTTCTAGAGGAAGTGGGTCACTGGAGACAAGCCTTGAAGATCTACAGCCTGGCTTCACTTCCTGTTCCCTCCCTGGTTTCTACTTAGAGGTGCGGCATGACCAGTGAGATGGCCGCTCCTCCTCCCTATGCTGCTTTAGTCAGCATATTTTATCACAGCATCAGCTAAGGGACTAAAGACACAGTATTGCCTAAACTCCTCATTTCCTAAGTCAGATGGAAATCATTTATAGGTAATGTCAACATAGCTAGGGTATTTACTAAACCTACTTCTCGACTCTAACCTATCACTAATCCAAGATTTATTAATTCTAACATCCTGCTAATCGTCATGATTTATGGTCAGGCTTTTTCCCTCCAAATACATAACCACATCACCTAGAAATGACTTCTTCATTTCGTCTTTTTTAATCCTTGTATGCTTTATTTCCTTCTTCCTGCCTTTATCTACTGGCTAGGCATATAAAAATATTAAAAACATGTGGTCAATACCAAGTATCTTTTTTCTTTTGCTTAATGCTATCTTCTGGAGAATATGGATATTAAGCTTTTAAGTAAAGACGCACTATGAAATGTTTAAGTTGTGATAAATTTTAACAGGAACAAAAAAGAAGCAGTTTGTTGAGAAGATAGGGAAAGAGTCGTAGCTGACTTCAGACACCCGATACTGTGGCAGCTCACAAGACAGTGGTGTTCATGTATGTACTGCACGCTGCACTGTGGTCAGACTAAGAAATGAGTAAGTCACACTAGATAGAACACACCACCTGTGTGGACTCGGGCTGCTAGAGACTGTAACACAGCTTGGCCATATAGTATGCTTTCGTGGTCAGTCATTCCCAAGGAGTCACCCGGAAGTGAGAATATATATACTTTTTGTTTGTTTGGTTTTCAGTGTTTTGAGATAGGGTCTCTCTAATACAACTCCTTGGCTGTCCTGGAATTTGCTCTGTAGATCAGACTGAATTCACAGAGATCCACCTGACCCCTAAGTGCTAGGATTAAAGGCATGCACCACCATGCCAGGCTATATTTACTTTTAAAACTCACTTACAATGTTGTCCTTTATCAAAGGCTAGATGATTAAAAGAATCCATTCCTGTATTGTTCTGTTTGTTTTGAAGATAGCTAGGATCTCACTCTATGGCCCTAACTGTCTTGGAGCTAGTTAGTTAAACCAGACTGGCCTAAAACAGAGACCTGCCAAGTACTGGTATTAAAGGCAAATGCACATGCGTGTGTGTGCGCACACACACATACACAGAGTGTATCACCATTCCCAGGAGATTCTAAAATTTTTATATTTTAAAAGTGAATGAAGCATTTACCTATATAATTCTGATTTCATTAATATCTTTCCCAGCTTTACAGCCCTTAGCTTAAAATTTTATGATAAGAAGGTTCAACAGGGGCTGGAGATGGTTAAGACTATTGGCTGCTCTTCTAGACAACTGGGATTCCCCAGCACCAGGGAATCCGATGCCATTCTCTGGTTCCACATTTAATTCAGACATGCACACAGACAAAATTCATACACACACGAAAAAGAGAAAAACAGAACATTCAACAACTTGTACAAATTTTGTCCTCTAGTTTTCATTTTGTTCCCCACAGCAGCATCATGGGCAGTATGTGCCACATCTCTAACCTAAGGGAGCACTCTGCGGGAGGACAGATGAAGAGAAAGCAGATGGCATTGCTCAGCTCCTGACAGGCAGTGATGAGTGGAGATTTTGGTAGAAAAAAAACAGGAGACTAGAGCGCTGGAACACAATGAGGAAACTGGAGCGCAGAAGAAAAGCAGAGGCTAGGAAGGAGGAAGGGGACACACAACAAAGATAAGAGGTGAACTAATTTCTGCAGACTAACCCAGAGCTATGAAACTTTCTCATCAGAGAGGCACTGCGTTTTTAATCAGGCATCTTAAGAGTCTCCTGCTCTGCAACCCATGTTAGTCAATAAGTTATATAAGGGAAACTGCAGCTTTTATTTCCCAGGGAAACTCCTAAGGTCTCTTTAGACAAAAATTTTTTCTTTGTCCTTTTTTAATGAGACGCAACCTCTTTGATTCGCAATGCTCACAGAAGTACCAGTTTCAATATCCATTTCCCATATGCATGCACAACTATTATAAATCCCTAGTTATTACCAGTTGACAAACCAACTTAAAATTCAGGGTTACTGCAGCATCTGTTCACATTACAACTTACTGGAAAATTATAGATCTAACTTTCTTTTAGCAACAACTCACAGGACACCAGACAGAACCTTGCTCTGTATTTTCCCCGCACATTGTAGCAGAACGGTTTTATACATTAGTTAAATTACATCTTTGGAAAACACTTTTCCAAAGGTACTTAGCAAGTGTACAGTGTGAAAAAGTGCCTGCTACTAGAATACAATGACCAGCAGTAAGGCCTGATCTACCTCTCCCTCCGCTTACAGTTCCTGAGCTGGATCTGACAGGGACCAAGGCATCAGGTGATCAGACAACCCAGTTACTTTCCTGAAAATGTGCAATAGGGAATTATCAAAAGCTCACCTGTCACCTTAGACTTGAACTGGAAAGAAAGCCCAATTATTCCAGCAATACTGATACCTATCATTTTTTTAAATTACTCACTCATTATTTGACAATACTTTCTAAAACCATTCATATTTTCAAATCATTTCTCTAGCCTCATAAACTATACCTTTGACCAACGGATGGATGGATGGATGGATGAATGGACGGACAAATGAATTCCAAGAACATACAACATGCTCTCTATAGTGTATTTTCTATTTGTCTATTCTGAAGTCAGATTATAAAAACTGGCCAGCTGGATGACCAGATATGACAATCTAATGAAGACAAAAAGACTCCTGATCAGTGAGGCTCGATGGACCTTATTTCCATCTCCAGATCCTACAAAGCACCAGGAGAAAACAAGTACTGTGCCCTGACCTCCCCATGTTTGCTATCATTATGTGCAAGTCTGCATCCATATACACACATGCATTCACAAACATAAAGTATACAGGATTTTAGTAGACCCTTACCTGATGGTCTTGGATCTTTCTGCCCACCACTCTGAATGTGTTGTTGCCTGTATGGTGATATATATGCACTCTGCTGAACCCAGTTGAGCCACCAGCTGGCACCCACTTCTTATTGGCATCATCGTAAACCATCACAGCAGCTCTTGCCTGGCAGATACTCTGTTCACTGTAAAAACATAAAATTCATATGAGATATTTAAGATATGCTAGGTATGCCACAGAGTCACGAGCCACGGTTAGCCAACCTGGCATCAGTTAACAATCAGAGTAGCTCCTACCCCATGAACAAAGTCTAATGGGGAAGACAAAAGCAAGGTATGTTAAGGGTAGAGTGTGGGATCTGTAAAAATACAAAGAACACCAGAAGTATCTTATTCTTACTATATCTAGTTTATTATCAAATTGAATATACTAGAACTATAAATTAGCCACCACTTGTGTAAGTACATGATGGTGACCTGTCTGAGATTATTTTCTTCTTGTTGACAAAGCTAACTTTTATTACTAGGAACACTTCAAAGTCTCTAACAAATTCAGACAAAGCAGTATCTGTTCTTCAAAACAGGGAGATGAAATTAGTAATCAATGGCTGACAACATGGTTAACTCCTTCATTCCCTTTACTCAGGTTAATATCCTACACCTGAACATTTCCTCCATTTTTCCTTTAAAGTGTTAAGAATAAGGGGCTGGAGAAAAAGCTCAGGATTAAGACAGTTTATTGCTCTTGCAGAGAACCCAACTTTGAGACCCAAGATCTAGACTGGACAGCCCACAAACACCTGTATTGCAGCTCCAAGAGACCAGAAGCCTTTTGCTTCCACAGGCATCTGCACTCACATGCGCATACCCACCAACACACACGCATACACATCACTAAAAAGAAAAGTTTAAGACTAAAAGATGATTTCTAGGGACCCTACTACATTTAACATTCTCTTCTCCACAAATAAATGCCAGAAAAAAAGAAAAAGAAAAAGAGCAATTTTCGGTTGCCATCTATCCCAATTACTTGCTCCTATGTAATACTGAGACATACAAATAAAACAGAGCTGAGGCCAACTTCTTACTGAAGACCTTCCGAATATTCTCTAATGTTCTGGAGAAAAACCTAACTAACTTATTTTATGGCACACTTCTTTTTAAGTAGCATTTATTAAAAACAAACAAACAAACAAACACCATAAAACCCAGACACACTACTAACTACAAATGCGGTTAAACTCAGCCTCTAGAGCAGTGGTTCTCTATGGGTTGTGACCCCGTGTCAGATATCCTCCATATCAGATATTTACATTATGATTCCTAACAATGGCAAAATTACAGTTATGAAGTAGCACTGAAGTAATTTTGTGGTTGGAGATCACTGTACATGAGGAAGGTTGAGACCCACTGCTCTGGAGGGATAGGCCTACAGACGTCCCTAAACAGTTCATGTTCTCCTCATCCCATGTAATAAAAGTATATGCTCAGTCTACCAACTTCTGCCTCCAGAGACTTCAGACACTATGTGGTTTTTCCCAATCATCCTCAGAAACAGGTACCCCACACAGTCGCCTTATTCGTGTTTCTCTCCACCCATCTAAGGACAACGAACACAGCTTCCCAGGAGGGGTCATGTGTGCCTTGGTAACAAGGCCATGGGAAACCTAAAGAAATCACTGCACAGAATAAGTAATTTGTTTCAGAGAAATTAGTTGTAATTGTTTTAATTTTCCATTATAAAAATTCTACAAAGCCTAAACTATAAACAACAATGGTGTACTAAATCCTTTGGTTCTGTTTCAAATTACTTTTATGTTGCCTAGAAATTTTCTGAGACCAGAAACAAGTCAATGACTAAAGCCTGAATTACTTTTTAAAGAGCATTATTTAAAGGTATTTGTCAGTACAAGCAGTTAAAGATTTATTACTCACACTAGAAATACAAACTAAGCGGCAACTTTTATATAAGGCGTAACAGAAACGACTGAAATAAGCAAAGGTCAGTGTTTCCTACAGACCTTCCGCTGCAGAAAACAAAACAAAAACTGACTATGAAACGAAATAAAAAAACAAACTGAAAATTAATGCAAAAACGGTATCTTCCAATGTTCAAAAATTAGTATGGGTAAGGCATAGTGGCACATGCCTTTACTTCTGGCATTCCAGAGGCATAAGTAGACAGATCTCTGTTAGTTCAAGGCCAGCCAGGGCTACAAAACAAAACTCCACTTTTTAAAAAAGCCATTTCGGGAAGCCATGAAAGCCTTATGACTTGAATTAGATGCAATGGTACACATCTGTACTTCTAGCAACCTCATGGGAGAGGTAAGACTAAGGCAGGAGACTCACAAAGAATCATAGACCAGCTAGCACTCATCTGTCAACTTCACCACAGATGAGATACACAAATTAAGACAACAACATTCAAGATTTTTAATTCTGTGGACCCACAAATTTAAAAACAGACTGGATGAATCAATACAGACCAGGATATCAATATTTTGGTCTTTTAGCAATTTGAGTATATAAAAAACTGTAGGGGAAGACCATCACAACTTATTAAAATGAGGATTTTTTGTTGTTGTGTTTTGTTTTGCTTTTTCAAGAGAGGGTTTCTCTGTGTAGCCCTGGTTGTCCTGGAACTCACTCTGTATATCAGGCTGGCCTCATACTCACAAAAATCCACATGCTTCTGCCTCCCAAGAGCTGGAATTAAAGACATGTGCCATCACCGCCTGGCTAAGGATTTTTTTTGGAAACAGAAAGATATGTATAAAAGAGATAGATAGATGGCTCAACAGTTAAGAGCACTGGCTGTCCTGCTAGAGGACCCTGATTCAATTCCCAGTATCCACATGGTGGTTCTGTAACTATCTGTAATTCCAGTCTCAGGGAATCTGACCCTGGCCCTCTTCTGGCCTCTGCAAGTACCAGGCACATATGTGATACACACACACACACACACACACACACACACACACACACACAAAGCAAAACACCTATACACATTAAAAGAAACTAAAATAAACATAGTAACTTTAGTTTTCTATACTTTAGTCTTTGTCTATGTTTGTATTTTCAACCTGTTTTATTCTATGCCAGTGAAATTGTCAAAGACCCGCTTGGCATTGTCAGGTATGGTAGTACTTGACATATCTGTAATGCCAACACTCAGAAAGCCAAGTACAGGAAGATCCAAAGCTCAAAGCCAGCCTGGTTATAGAGAAAAACTTAGCTAATTATGGCTGTTCTCAGCTACATAGAAAGTATTGTTGGTATATATCCAAGAACATAGCAATGCATTTTTATATGCACTATGACAAGCCTCAAAATAAAAACTTGTCAAAATATTCGTATTTCTAAATCAGTGAAACAATTATGAAGAAGATTAAATGAGTAAACCACTAGACTGTAGTTTTGTGAAGATTAGATACTAAACAGCCATAAACAAAACTCAGGCTCTTATGATACAATGGAACTAGTGTACAGAGCTAATTATACTTCATGTCCCTAATGTTAATTTTGGTATTTTCCAATGAAATACAGCATTAAAACACTAATAGCTAGCTAGCTTACCACCCTTCCCCATATACACAGTATTACTTTATGTACAGTTTTGCAGCTTGGTCAGTAAATTCATTTCTGAATACAGTCAAAATTTCCTAAACAAGTAGGTACGTATAATAGTAGAGAATGTTCACCAAAAACAGCAGTAAATTAAATGTTCATTATATTTACGGGAAAAAAAAGACCTTATTCTTGTACACACTATGCAGTGATAATGCCGCAGTCTTTAACAAACAGCACTTCCCTTCAGAGACCATCTACTAATTATACATCAAAGGAAGCGTTACTATACCAGCGCCGCACACACAGTAGGCACTCTTTAAATGCTGTTCGGTAAACACATGCAGCTGACAAAACCTGATTTACCAAAACCAGAATCAAATACTTTTCCTTTCGTTAAGTCTTCCCAGGGTCTCCCAAGCTGTAATTAATCCCTTCCCTTTTCATTCCCCTATCGAGAGTCCCTGAGGAGTCAGCATTTGAGCCATAGGTAGGCAGGAGGGCTTAAAGTAGAATATGACTTACATTTTTAAAAACATGACTCTAGCTACCATGGAATTGTGGAAGGTGACACGGAAATTAGGGACAGAAGCAAGAATACTAGACTAGAAAAGAGGAGAGGAACATGTAGACACAAAGGATAAAAATTATGACCATTGCTAGCAAGTTACTAATGTTTCTGCTTAAAAAAAAACAACAAAAAAACCACAACACAACACAACAAAACAAAACCTGTTTTGATCTAGCTCCTTTACTAGGTTCCAAAAGATCAACTCACACCAAAATGGATTCATTAATTCTAAATGGCACACAATCCCATTGAAACTTTAAGTAGAGAAATCCTCAGCGTAGTTAAGCTTCTACTGCACCCACATCCTCTGCTCGTTTCCACCTTAGAAACCGCATTTTTTTCTACTGCTCAGGGGCTCACTCATAAATGGTGTACATTAAAGCCAATTAGATATATGAATATTTTTGATAATTTTTACACCCCCAACCCAAGACATTGACTATTCACCAGACCCCTGAAAAAAAAAATACACAAGAGGTGCTAACTGTGGTCTCCTGCCTTTCTCATGAAGCACCAAGGAAGGACTAGGCAAAATTCTCACCGGACTTTGCTCCTGTTTTAAGTCACTTTTTGCTTCAAGTTCACAGGTTTCTAAACCCATGTCTAGTTGGTACTGTGAAAATGTAAGTGACCTTTGAGGTTTTACAGTGACTGAAAAATGACTGTCAATAACTGTAACTTTAAAATTAACTGTCAGCAGATACAGTAAGTGGTACAATAGCTGAGAGCCTAAACTCTGCCTTTTCAAATAAGTAAGAACTTGAGTTTTGAACTTCCCTTCACTCTCAGTTCTCTGAAATAGAAATTATTAGCATCTGGTCAAGGGAATTTCAGAGCCTAAGCTGTAACTTGAGTATTAGGCAAAAGTCAGAGACTCAGGACTCACCTACACAGAAAAACTGTCAGCATCCCAAACCTGTACCTGCTTGCCTCTTCTAACAGATTCAACAGGAACATTAAAATAGAATCCTTAATTTTTTTCTTTTTCTTTTCTTCTTTCCTTTTTTGGGGGCTCTGGCTGTCCTGTAACTCACTATATAGATC